GTCACCTTATAAATGATCAAATTCTTTCATGTATTCAGAACTATATTTGTAGTCACGCTAAGTACTAATGTAATTAATTGCATTAGCCTCCTATATATGTTTTCAAGGTTAAGCCTAAAGCAAACAACTAAAAACAAGGAAAGTTTGTTTAAAATACTTAATGGTCCTCACACTCTTCAGAGATCTGCTGAATGTGGCATCTAAAATGTTTAATGGAAAAAGCTTCCTGTGGTGGACAGAAATGCTAGGTCCTAGCAGTGACCCTAAGATCTCCAAGGAAGACAGATGGGGCACAGACCTGGATTGTGGTGACACTAACCACTGGACGAAACTGCCCCATGCCTCACCTGTTTCCAGGGCCCTGCACAAACTGTGGACAGCATTCGGTTGACTACCCTACTCTGCCTAAGCCAAGGTAGGACAATTTCCCCCAAGTTCCTCATCCACAGGAAAATCTCTCAGACATTCTGTGTCTGGCAGCTGAAGGCCCATGCTGTCCTGTGCCAGCAGCTGAATATATAATGCTGTTCTATGTGCTAGCCAAAGACTAGCTTCTGTCCCCCAACGAAGCTATCGAGACTATGGAAGCCTACTAGGGTAATCGTCCAGGTAGCTTGTAAGTCTCTGTCATTTTAATGGATACAGGTGCCATACTCTCTGCTGTAATTTATCCTTCTCAGATCTCTGATGGCGTTGGTGGCTAACTGTAGTATTGTCAGTTTGGCAGCAACAGGCAACCAGCTCCTCCCTCAAGGCTGCAGCTACCTTGTTAGTTCATTCCATATATAAAAGTCAGGTCTTGCTCTCTTTAGAACTCCCGGGTTTGCCTGCTACCAGGTTTCATAGTAAAGGATAACCAGGTTTCAGCTGTAACTCTCTTTTGTTTGTTTTTCAAGACGGTTTCTTAGTGTAGCCTTGGCTGCCCTGGACCTTGCTCTGTAGACCAGGCTGGTCTCGAATTCACAGAGATCCGGCTGCCTCTGCCTCTCAAGTGCTGGAATTAAAGGCGTGCACCACAACTGCCCTGCCAGATGTAACTTTTTTTTTTTTTTTTTGGTATTTTGAGACAGGGTTTCTCTGTAGCTTTGGAACCTGGCCTGGCCTAGCTCTATAGCCCAGGCTGGCCTTGAACTCCCAGAGATCCACCTGCCTCTGCCTCCCGAGTGCTGGGATTACAGGTGTGCACCACCACCGCCCGGCAATCAGATGTAACTTTTTATTATTCCTTTATATAAAAGAACTTGCTTTGCAATTATTGCCCTCATGGTAAATGATTAGGCAGAAAGAAAGATTTCAAGCTTAAATAAGTTTTGAAGGTCTAAGAAAGTGATTTAAGGTATATGAAAAAAATGAGAAATGTTTCAGATTTCTTTTCTTCTCCCTGTGCTACTGTTATACTGAGATCTCAAAAGTTCAGAGTTTTAACGTTGATCAATGGAGTTCTGATAAGCTTGTAAAGCACTGATTGCCATCATCAGTCACAAGCTCAGGATTTTAAATTTCCTTTGGTTGTCTTCTAACTATAAATGTAAATGTATTTCTCCTCAGGCTAAAAGCATCTCTGTTCAATCTATACATCTAGTCCCCTGGACAGAGAAAAGAATGTTGATGTTTCTTAACCCAAAGCTGTAGTCTTTGCTATGACTTGAAGGCATGAGTCTACTCTAGCTGTTTTACAGACACCTGTTAGCTGTTTTTTCCTACAATGTGGATTTTAGTACAGATTATGAACAGTAGGAAACTTCTGTCCCTACTCTATATCTGTCCCATCAGATTTCCACTCAGCTGACAGACACCATCCAGGAATCAGCTGTGGACTACAAACTACTCCAAATGGCTATGAGCCTTGGACTATGTGAACCAGTATAGCCAATATGGTTGCTCCCTGTCTCTTCAGCTGGGTCAGTGAACCAGATGCTTCTCTGATGATTGCTCCATTGCCTGAATCCCCTCCCAGCCTTTGACCAACATTCCAGGCTTCCTGGGCCCTGGCAATGATGTCCTAATCAGCAGGAAGTAGTTACAGAAGAGAGTATGTCTCCCTTATCCTCTATAAAAGGCTAGAGTGTTTGTTCAAAAGGAAACTCCCTGGCATAGGGACAAAATGGCTACCTATAGTGCCTAATGGCATACCAGGAAAGGTACCTGTTAAAACCAAATAGACCCAGATCTATCAACAGGTACCTTAATTAGGTGAAACAGTCCCACAATATGATAGGTCCCACAATATGATACCTGCTCTATGTAAAATAAGGAGGTTATTGTATGGCCTTAACAAAAAAAAATGTTGTTTCTACATGAACCACTTGGGAATCATTAGAGGTAATCAGGCTGTACTGAATAAAAAAAATTACTGACAAAAAATGACCCAAGATGAGATAAATGACTGGTTTCTATTCTCATTTTCAGGTTTCTCCTAGATAGTAACTCTGAGGTCAGCCATTGCATAAGATCCCTTGGCTCTCCTGTTTCTGCTAATTATTAATAATCTTGCTTCATTAATGCCTTAACTAGTGTGGCGGTTTGAAAGAAAATGGAGTGGCACTGTCAGGAGGTGTGGCCTTGTTGGAGGAAGTGTGTCAATGTGGAGGTGGGCTTTGAGGTCTCCTTTGCTCAAGCTATGTTCAGTGTGGTATATAGTTCACTTCCTGTTGCCTGTGGATCAAGATGTAGATCCCTCAGCTCCTCCTCTAGCCTCATGTCTGCCTGCATGCTGCCATGATTCCCACCATGATGATAATGGACTAAACCCCTGAAGTGTAAATGAGCCCCAATTAAATGTTTTCTTTAATGAGAGTTGCAGTGGTCATGGTGTCTCTTTGTAGTAATAGAAACCCTACCTAAGACAACTAGATATGTAAATCCCCATCTGGGTGCCATTAAACTGATGGTTACTAGATCCTAATATGAACAGGTACCTACCACAGAGTCAGGGATTTGACTCAGGATACAACTCAAGCATGGGATGTGAGGGCTCATGTTATGCTTTAAGTTTAAATGACTCTGCTTAAGAGATCTATAAAGCAAAAGTGCCTCTAGCCTGTGAGCCCCTCTTGCCCAAGGACAGATGACTTCCTGGAATTCTGGGGGATGTTGTTCATGTAAGATAACAAGCCCTGTGTTTTTGCTTCTGTAAACAAGCTTGGCTGCCCCAACTGCATACTATATGCTTGATGACATGTAGGCAAGAGGTACATAAGCAGGAAGTATGTCAGGACGTATGCTTGCCCTTGATTAGATGAAGTTGGGAAGTATGTATCCTTATGGGTTTTGTCTTTATAAGCCCCTGACTAATGTAATTTGGGGCTGTATAATCCTGGGTATAGACCTGGCCAGTATCCACAGACCTGGTCAGTATTTAATAACGCTTGCTTTAAATTTGGCTCAAAAATTGTGGCAGTGATCTTTTTCTCACCCATTGAGATTAACAGTGAGAGGACAATTTATGTAAGTTGGTTTTCTCCTTCTACCTTTTAGGTCCTGGGGATCAAACTCAGGTCTTCAGGCTTGGTGGCAATCACCTTTACCTGCTGGGCCATCTTGCAGGCTCCAGAATAAAAAGCTCCTGTCTTCCTTGACACAGCATCTGCCTCCATCCTATAATACTTTGCCTCTACCCCAGGTAGAAAGTGGATTCTGGATTTCAGCTCCATCTCCATCTCTTCTGTCTTTCCAGAGACATATAGTAGGAGAGAGAGCATTGCTCGTGGTCACAGTCATAGTGGGTAGGTGTCAGAGAGCTGGAGTTAGAAGCAGGACACACTTTTTTTTGTTTGTTTTTGCCTTTGTTTTTCAAGACAGGGTTTTCTGTGTAATCCTCTGTGCTAGCTATCCTGGAATTCACTCTGTAGACCAGGCTAGCCTCAAACTCACGAGATCCATCTTCCTGTGCCTCCTGAGTGCTGGGACTAAAGGCTTGCACCACCATCACCTGGCTGGCAGTGCACACTTTTAATCCCAGCACTTGGGAGGCCGAGGCACGAGGATCTCTGTGAGTGTGAGGACAGATGACCTAACCTCTCTGAGCCCATGTAGATGGAAGATGAAAATATCTGTCTATCTTGTGGAGTCTCTATGAGGATTAAGGGAGATAACACATACAGGGCTAATAACAATTTGTGGAGCATAGTAAATACTCAGTAAACATCAACTGCTAATGCTTATGCCATGCTGAGCTATGAATGTCCATGACTGGACACAATCAAATATATGCTGGACAAATCTGCCATCTCTGAGCCAGCCTGCTTAATAGCCATTGGTGATGGGCAAAATCCCCAAGGCTCCTTTTAACATAAACTTGATGCCCAGAGAGAAAAAAGTGACATATCAGTAGAGACCAACAAATAGTAGCTGTAGCCACAAGTCTGAGGCTGAGCGTGAACAGTATGTCGCAGGGATGTGTCTGAGGGCAGAAAGGGACAGAAGAGAGCCTGCTGGTTTGAGTTGGCTTAGGACAGCTTGCTTGGGCTCTGGATTCCTCTCTCCTGCAAGTTGAGTGTGTGGGAGACAGAGAACCAAACCCTCTCACCGATGGCCTCCCATGTCTGGTTTCTGGTCGCCACTGTATCTCTCTCGCCCTCACTCCCAGCACAACCCACATCCTGCTGCATAACCACCACATCTGGGGCTCCAGGCAGCTACCTCCCAGGCAGGAGCGAGCTGCACTGTGAGGCTTTTTTCCACTTTCCTCTGTTCTGTTCAGCAGTTTCTTGGCAGCTGGTGGAAGCCTTGTCTCAGTCCCAACCCCCTCTGCTCCCTCCCTTCCTTTCTGGTACCATCACCTGCCTTTCGGGTCCGTCTGTCTCATTCATTTTATGGACCGACCACTCCATCAGGGACCACCCGTCACTCAGCACCTTTGATGATTTGATGCATGTGAGGGCTGCTAGTGCCCACCCCCTCCAATAGGCAAAGGCTGCACTGAGTCCCTGGGGAGAGGCTGAATTGCCTTAGGACACAGGCTGCTTCTGAGGACCTTCCAGAAAAAAAGAGACAGTAACTTTTCTAGCCAATACACTTTATTGCTTTTCCATTAGCAGAGAGGAGTCTGGTCTATTCACGGAGATGCAGATGACTATCCAAGGATTTAAGATGAAACGTGGAGAGGAACTCGAGGCAGGTGCCGGGCCAGGACCTCTGCCAATGATCACTGAGCCCATCCCCAGGGAAGGGTGTGAAACACAGAGGTGGGAAAACAGAAAGCTATAGGAAAGGGCTGGGGAAGAGGGCCAATTTATGTGCAGGGAAGGGGGGGGGAGATTGACAGCAAAGATAACATCTGTGCAGAGGGAAGGAGCTGGCAGGGAGTGAGTGGCTGGAATAAGCATCCCGACAAGATGGCTGGCTGAGGGCCCGACCATTCATGATGTTTCAGAGGATATTGAGGCAGCAACATTCTAGTACTGGATACTAGCAGAGGCGGCAGGAGAGGAAGCAGAGGCAAGGTTCCAGGAGGTGTGTTCACCAGAAGACTGAAGATCAATCCTGTGGGGTCCACAATGTGTCCAGAGGACAAGGAACAGCACGGTGCTCAGGGGGCTGGATCTGGGTCCATGGGGGCCAGTGTCTCTCCCATCTGTCAGACTGCTCTCTGGTTCAGGCCAGAATACAGGTCCCGCTGGCCTTTGCGGATGGGCTAAGGGTGGAACAGGAAGGTGGTTAGGAGGGTGGGAGGAAGGAGCTATGAAGGAAGAAAGGCATTGGAGAGTTGGCTGCAGTTCAGGGTGAGACCTCTGGGCTTGGAGTCAGGAGGAGTCCAGTTGTGACTTGGCACAGATTTGAGCCAGCTACCTCCTTCTGGAAGCCTCAGCTTCCCTAACCTAGCAAGGGAGACTGGAAAGATTTGCCTCTAGCACTTTTGTCAAGGTTAGCTGGAGTTACCGAGGGAACGCTAGACCCCCCATTCTTGATGCTCAGATTTTGTTCAATTTGTCCAGTGTGATAGAGAAAATCTTTAATAATTCTTAGTGCATGGTCACAATGAAGGCAGGCCTGGTGCCAGGTATTGACTCTTCGGTTGGGAAATCAAATGGCAGCCTGGTGGGAGGGGAGCTGTGGTGCCCGACTGTGCATGCATGTGGTGTGTGTGTGTGTGTGTGTGTGTGTGTGTGTGTGTG